TCAGCACTGACCCTCCGACAGTGCGGCGATCCCTCAGCACTGACCCTCTGACAGTGCGGCGATTCCTCAGCACTGACTCTCCGACAGTGCGGCACGCGTTTAGCAATGACCTTTCAGTTAGTATTGACACTGAAATGACCAACAGTTTGATTCATTATGTTTAATAGACACCTCCTTCTTTGCTAAGCATTCCTTTCAACGCTTTGTCATTTTCAGGTGTTGAAACACATCATTGGCAGGGAGATCCATGATGAGGAATGTCAATTCTTGTCCAGGAAATTCACTGAATGGGCATATGGGCCAGTGCACTCATCGCTGTATGACCTCTCAGCCCTCGACACATATGAAGCAAAGTCTGTGTTGGAGATTATCATCTATGGCAGTGAGACTCCGGTATGTGCTGCCTCGTCAGCTCAGTGGGTTAGTGTCTATCGGAGATAGGTTTAAGATAATTTTGAAAAGGAAAAACCAAGGAGGGAGATTAGGGGACAGTTTTAAACACACTGAGCTGGCAATGTTCTGATGGAATGGCCAGAAGATACATTTACATTCAAAAGCTCACTTGATTATTATCAGGAAAGGAAATATTGGCCAAACCATGAAGAAGGTATATAATTGGTGAATTCTTCCAAAAACCTGGCACTGCCATGAAGGGTGAAATGGCCTTTATTACAACATCACTGATTCCGAAACTTATATTTATAAATGATCATTATTTCTGACAGCTACACTGTGAAAAATCCCAGCCACTGCTTTCAGTATGTAGTTTACAGCATCAAATGGAACAGAGATCTGGCCTTAACTATACATGTCAAACATCGACCATATTCCCAGGGTTAGATACGGAGTAAACCTTCCTCTATATTGTGTGCATCAAACATACCCAGGACAGGGATAGCACAGGGTTAGATACAGAGTAAAGCTCACTCTACACTGTTCCCCATCAAACACTGCCAGGACAGGGATAGCATGGGGTTAGCTACACAGTAAAGCTGCCTCTACACTGCCCCCGTCAAACACTCCCAGGACAGGGACAGTACAGGGTTAGATACAGAGTAAAGCTCTCTCTACACTGCCCCCATCAAACACTTCCAGGACAGGGATAGTACAGGGTTAGATACAGAGTAAAGATCCCTCTACACTGCCCAATCAAAGACCTATTCCAACTGGTTTGTTTCTATTTTCTCAGAACCGACACGAGATGCTAAACTTAGAGCCGCTGAAGCACCTGTTACAGGACAAGTGGAACACCTTTGCCAGCTTCATCTTTTACATCAAGTTCTTCATTTACTTGTCCTATATGATCATCTTCACCACTACAGCCTACAATCGGATTGAGGAACAAAAGGTATAGATATGTTTCTCAAATTGAGCTGTGCATCTGCAATCAAGTGCTATCATTCTAGGCTGTGGGCTAGATAGTCATAGATCCAAAGAATCCCACTGAGACCTGAGTACAAAATGCAGTTTAACATTCCCAGGGCAGCAATGAGGGAGCAATGCACATTCAGTGGGTCAGTATTGAGGGAGCATTTCACTGTCAGTGGATCCTGTCAATGCTGAGGGAGCGCCGCACTGTCAGAGGGTCAGTGCTGAGGGAGTGCCACACTGTCGGAGGGTCAGTGCTGAGGGAGTGCCGCACTGTCGGAGGTTCAGTGCTGAGGGAGTGCCGCACTGTTGGAGGGTCAGTACTGAGGGAGTGCCACACTGTCGGAGGGACAGAGCTGAAGGAGTGCTGCACTGTTGGAGGGTCAGTACTGAGGGAGTGCCGCACTGTTGGAGGGTCAGTGCTGAGGGAGCGCCGCACTGTCGGAGAGTCGGTACTGAGGGAGGGCTGCACTGTTGGAGGGTCAGTATTGAGACAGTGCCAAATATCTGCCATTTCCCTTCTATCTGCAGGCCAGTGAGCCTGACATCAGTGGTAGGCAGTATTGGATAGGATACTGAGGGACAGGATCAACCAACATTTGGATAGTCAACATCTGAGCATGGATTTGTGCACGGGAAGTCATGTCTGACAAATCTTTTAGACTTTTTTGAAGTGGTAACCAAGAGGATAGATGAGGGTAGGACAGTGGATGTTTTCTATGTAGACTTTGGTAAGGCC